GTGGGACGCCAGCGTGACAGGTGGTGGCTGATGTGCTATGCCACAATGCCAGCCCCCATTTGCTGTTTTTGGTTACCTCAGAGCTAATGAGCTCAAGTTCCTGTGCTTCAATCACACTTGTCAAAAATCAGAAACATGTTGCATTCTGTAACAGGTACTGGAATCTTTGGTAAAGGTGGATGTCTGGAATGAGGCTGGACTCCCTGCTCACATCATGCAAAAAGACAAACTCAAAATGGACCAAATAGCTAAAGGTATGGACCGGAACTAAAACATTTTTTTTTTTTTAATAAAACTTAACAGCCAGTCTTAATCACTTGGGTTAATGTTTTTTTAGTTATGGCACCGATTATGAAAGCACAGAAGAAGAAATAAATGAACTTTATCGTTCATAAATTTAACGAAATTTAACGTTCCAGGCTGGGGCGGTAGCCTAGCAGCCAAAGTCCTCACCTTGAACATGCGAGGATGCCATATGGGCACTGGTTCTAATCCCGGCAGCGGCAGCCCTGCTTCCCATCCATTTTGTGGCCTTGGAAAGCAGTCAAGGACAGCCCAAAGTCTTGGAACCCTGCACCCACATGGGAGACCGGGAGAAGCTCCTGGCTCCTGGCTTTGGATCAACTCAGCTCTGGCCATTGCGGTCACTTGGGGAGTGAATCATTGGACAGAAGATCTTCCTCTTTGTCTCTCCTCCTCTCTGTATATCTGACTTTCCAATAAAAATAAACAGATCTTAAAAAAAAAAAAAAAACCAACTTAGTGTTCCTTAAGCAATGCCAGCAAGAAAGTAAAAATAGTAAACAAAATGGAATGGTAATGGCTCATTTTAAAAAAAAATTGAAAATGGCATATCTGATAAATGACTTAAATATAGAGAAGTGTGAAGAAATTTTATATTCAACAATGAAAAGACATCTCAATTAAAAACTGAGCTAATGGGGCCAGCGTTGTGGTGCAGTGGGTTCAGCTGTCACTTGTTGGGCCAGCATCCTGTGTCGGACAGCCAGTTCTAGTCCAGGCTGCTCTGCTTCCCAGCCAGCTCCCTGCTGATGCAGCTGGGAAAGCAGCAGAGGACGACCCCACGTGCTCAAACTCCTGCCACCCACGTGGGGGTCCTAGCTGGGACTCCAGGCTGCCGGCTCTGGCCTGGCCCATCCCTGGATGTGTGGTCATCTGGGGAGTGAAACAACAGATGGAATCTGGCCTTTCAAATAAAATAAATAAATCTTATTTTTAAAAAACCGCTACAGTAAGAGAAAGAAATCAGCTATAAAATCCATGCATTATTTGTCTGGATTTATGTGCAGTACCCAGAATGCACAAATTCTTACAGACCAGAAATAGATTAGTGGTCTCAAGGGGCCAGGAATGAGGGTGAGCGACTGGTAATGGTATGGGCTTATTTTAGGGGCAAGGAAAATATCCTAAATTTAAAACAGTGAATATCTTTAAGATATACTATGAATATAGTTAAAATACTAAATTGTATACTTTAAATGAGTAAATTTTGACATGTGAGCTATATATCTCACAATAACCCTCGTAAAACGTGGTAAGAATAACATTTGAAACAATCATAATTGCGGAAAAGTGATTTTGCATGACAGTCCAATAAGCACCAAGCAAGGCTGCTGACAGCCTTAATCTTTCTTATGCGCAAAGAAGAGTCACGTGCATCTATGGAGCCAGCATCAGGCTTATGCAGACACTTCCAGGAACGCAGAGATGATTTGTGGCCGTCACACAATGGAATTCTATGCAGTGATAAAAGTTAATGGAACATAGTGATATTCAATGATCTGTGGGTAGAAGACACGCTGATCCTATTCTGCGGAACATTTGGAACTGGCAGACCCAAGCTGCCACCCGCGAGGCCGCAGGAAGGTCTGTGTTGTGTGGTGAGTTTGTGTGTGCTCCTTCCGTGGGCATTCACCAGGCTGTCCACGTACAGTCTGTACCTCGAATCCCTGAATGCTGTCATCCAATTGAACAGCAGAGTTCTGCTTGTTTCCTGCACTGCCTTATAAATGACAAAGAACTTGCATACATGCAATCGCCCACATGCAGTTCGCAAGTGTAAAAGCAGAGAAAACTGGCAAAACAGGAAAAGGGTTTCACCAAAGGGTGAGCAGGCAGGGCCCAGCGCAATAGCCTAGCAGCTAAAGTTCATCTTGATTGCACCCAGATCCTATATGGGTGCCAGTTTTAATCCCGGCAGCCCCGCTTCCCATCCAGCTCCCCACCTGTGGCGTGGGAAAGCAGTGGAGGACGGCCCAAAGCCTTGGGACTCTGCACCCACTTGGGAGACCCCAAAAAAGCTCCTGGCTCCTGACTCCTGGCTTCAGATCAGCTCAGCTCCAGCCATTGCGGCCACTTGGGGAGTGAGTGAATCATCGGACGGAAGACCTTCTTCTCTGTCTCTCCTCCTCTCTGTCTCTCCTCCTCTCTGTATATGCGCCTTTCCAATAAAAACAAACAAATCTTAAAAAAAAAAAGAAAGAGTGAGCAGGCGGACCGATGGGAGCTCTGGGCTGGCCTGTGACCCTTACAGAGCTTGGCCTGCGGGAACACAGTGACCCTTAGGGCTGAGTCCACATCCTCTCTATTTGTGGGGGGCTACCGTGAGTGTAGGGTGCTGCTGTACCGTGTAGACGGAGGATCCGAGTCCCAACAGGGACCTCTGCATCTACACACCACTTGCAGTGGCTTGGCTAAGGGTTGTGTGGGTCCCCCGGGGTTTCACCCGTGGGACGGAGGCATGGGTGTGTGGGTGCTCAGGGGTGGCGAGACCTTTAGGAAGTAGAGCCAAGAGAGACGTGCCTGCTGCCTAGGGCCCTGCTTGGTTCTCTGGAGACGAATGGGCTTAAAGAGCAAAACAGAGCTCTTCTGGTGCCTGGCTTCCCATCCCTACACCTGTTACTCCCTCTCACCCACGCTCCCGCCGTCGCCATGGTACCCGCTGTGCAGCCCCACCCACCCGCCAGAGCCAAGCTGATCACAGCACAGCGCCCTGGTACCTTCTCTTTTTCTTCTTCTTCTTTTTAAAGATTTATTTATTTATTGGAAAGTCAGATGTACAGAGAGGAGAAACAGAGCGGAAGATCTTCCATCCAATGATTCACTCCCCAAGTGACCGCAATGGCCAATGCTATGCCGGCCGATCCGAAGCTAGGAGCCAGGAACTTCTTCCGGGTCTCCCACGTGGGTGCAGGGTCCCAAGGCCTTGGGCTGTCCTTGACTGCTTTCCCCGTCCACAAGCAGGGAGCTGGATGGGAAGCGGGGCTGCTGGGATTAGAACCAGCGCCCAAATGGGATCCTGGTGCGTTCAAGGTGAGGACCTTAGCTGCTAGGCCATGCCGCCCGGCCCGTCTTCTTCTTCTTCTTCTTTTTTTTTTTTTTCAATTCAAGTTCAGAAGCAGCTGCTGCCGGTGGGGAGAGCATTCCCCATCCAGGGGGAGAGGTGTTGTGTGGATCACTCTGCAGTGTACAGAGAGATTTCTAGGGAGGTTTTTCTTCTCCTCGGTTTGTCATTGTGGCACAGCACATTAGGTCTCTGCCTGAGATGCATCCAATATGAGCACTGGTTTGGGTCCTGGCTGCTCTATTTCTGAACTAGCTGCCTGCTAGTGTAGCTGAGAAAGCAAGAGAAGGTGGCCCAACTACTTGGGCCCATGCTGCCCATGTGGCAGACCCAGGTAGAATTCCTGGCTCCTGACTTCAGCCTGGCCCAGCCCCAGACAGTGCAGCCATTTGAGGAGTGAACCAAGAGATGGAAGAGCTCTTTCTCTCTATTACTTTATCTTTAAAATAAATAAAAGATTTTTAAAATGATGAATTTGGGGGGCCAGTGCCATAGAGTAGTATGTTAAGCTTCAACCTAAGACACCATATCCCAAATGGGCCCTGGTTTGGGCCTGGCTGCTCTGCTTCCAGTTTAGCTTCTTGCTGTGGTCTGGAAAAACAGAGGAGGATGGCCTAAGTGCTTCAACCCCAGCACTTACTTGGAAGACCCAAAAGGAGCTCCTGGCTCCTGGCTCCTGGCTCCTGGCTTAGGACCAGCCTAGTTCCCACCATTGTTGCACTGGGGAATGAACCAGCAGATGGAAGATCTCTCTCTCTCTCTCTCCTTCTCTAACTCTGCCTTTTAAATAAAAATAAATCTCTAGGAAATAAAAGATCGCCTCCCTCACACTGTTTCTGAGCTAGGAAGGTTGTATGACCATGCTTTTTCTGCTTGGGACAGGTGTTTTGTCAAGTGGTTAAAGTACTGCTGAGGATGCCCGAATCCCAGAAAATGGAACCCAGGACCAACACCCAGTTGTGGCTCTGAAGCTGAGCTTCCTGCCAGTATGTACTGCTGGGGGCACTAAGTGATGGCCCAAGAAGTTGGGTCTCTGCCATTGAGTTCCCAGTCCACCCCAGTTCCTGACATTGTGCCATTCAGAGTGAATCAGAGTCTGTCTTTCTCTTTCTCTCTGCCTCTTGAGTAAAGAATCCCTCCCCTGCCCCCAAAACTGATTAGTTAGCCATCTCATCTTCAAATGGCTATCATCCAGAAGGTGTTAAAGTTCTCAACTTCAATGAAGTTGGGAAAGGAGTGAATGTTTGCACTTGTAAGTGAGAAATCTGTGTTACCAATTTCTCCAACTGATAGAAAGCCTGATGTGAACCTTTTTACATCAGTGGTTGGCCAGACTTCATGTGGTGAAGAAAATAGCAACACAACTGTCTCAAAACCAGGCGTCCTCGGTTGTTGAGGCCTGTGCAGTGAACAGCATGCCTAGATGCTCACGGGGGACGTGACAACCAGTTCATTGAGGCCTAGATTGGAAGTGCCATGAAGAGAGGGACAAATTGGATAGCTGTGCTGGTCAAGCTTTGACAGCAAGTATCTGGTGAGTTGAGACTCAAAGCTGGACGAAGTCAGCAAATGGTCCTTGGAAGGATTTCCTCAACCTTGCAGAGGTGAAATCAACATCTCAGAATTATAAAAACTTGTGCTCACTTCAGCAGCACATATACTAAAATTGGAGCGATACAAAGAAGATTAGCATGACCCCTGCACAAGGGTGACGCGCAAATTCAGAACTATAAAAACTGCTTAGGGCCCAGCACGGTAGCCTAATGGCTAAACTCCTTACCTTGAACGCGCAGGGATCCCATATGGGGGCCAGTTTGAATTCCTGCTACTCCACTTCCCCTACTGCTCCCTGCCTGTGGCCTGGAAAAGCAGTGGAGGATGACCCAAAACCTTGGGACCCTGCACCCATGTGGGAGACCCTGAAGAAGCTCCTGCCTTCTGGCTTCAGATTGGCTCAGCTCCAGCCATTACGGCCACTTGGGGAGTGAACCAGTGGTCGGAAGATCTTTCTCTCTGTATCTCTTTCTCTGTGTATATCTGCTTTTCCAGGGGGAATCAATAAATCTTTAAAAAATAATAACAAATTAAAGTACTTAGGCAGCACACTTGGGGAAGCTGGATGGGAAGTGGAGCTGTCAGGAGTAGAACTGGCACCCATATGGGATCCTGGCGCATTCAAGGCGAGGACTTTAGCCGCCAGGCCACACCGCCGGGCCCTAAGCAGTACACTTGGAACATGCTTCACATCAGGGACCCGGGGACGGCATCCGGTGACAGCCCCCATTCCTGGATCCCGATGTGGTTAGGCTCCTGGGAGTGGTCCTCCCTATTACCCCAGATACAGGATGAAGGAAGGAGACTGGAGACAGTTGTCTCATTCATTTTCCCACATTCCTTGACCCTAATTGGTGGTCCTCGGGGGCATGCATCTCTCTCAGCTATGTAAACATCATCAAAAATAAAATGAATTTATTATTTTTTAAAAGTATAAGCCTTTCAAAAAAAAAAGTATAAGCCTTTCGAACCTGACACGATGGCCTACCGGCTGAAGTCCTCGCCTTGAACGTGCTGGGATCCCATATGGCCACTGGTTTTAAACCCGGCGGCCCTGCTTCCCATCCAGCTCCCTGCCTGTGGCCCGGGAAAGCAGTCGAGGACGTCCCAAAGCTTTGGGAACCTGCACCCGCGTGGGAGACCTGATTTGGTTCCTGGCTCCTGGCTTTGGATTGCCTCTACTCAAGCTGTTGCAGTCACTTGGGGAGTGATTCATCAGAGAGAAGATCTTCCTCTCTGTCTCTCCTCCTCTCTGTATATCTGACTTTGCAATAAAAATAAATAAATCTTTTTAAAAATATATAAGCCTTTCATATAACACTGCATTGGAATAACCTGATTTTAGTTGTTGCTCTCCCTAGCTCCAGCTCCCAACCGCCCCTTCCTGTGAATGCAGCCCTTGAAGGCAACAACTGACAGCTCCAGTGCTTGGATCCTGCTGCTCAGGGGAAAGCCTCGAGCGGAGATCTGGGCTTTGGCTTTGGTGCAAGTCAGGAACCATTTCAGGCATCTGCGGAAGAAACCCACTGACAGGTGCTCTCTCTCTCTCTGTTTCTACTCCCGCTCTCTTGCTCACTCTCTCTCTCTCTTTGTTTTTCTGTCTTTCAAATAAGTTTTATAAACATTTAAAAAATATAAAAACCAAGAATGAAGGAAAAGAGGGGATCAGGGAAAGGGCAGGGGAGGACAGGAAAAATGTTCAGCAAGTACAGGGACTGTATGTATTCATTTCTTTGTAAGCATCTTTGGGCAAAGTTTTGAAAACTTGAGTCTCTGCTGGGCTTACAAAGTTGACTATTTTTTTTTTCACAGATTGGCTGGAAACAACACATAGGCTATGATAGTCACATGTTACAACCTTTGGGCTGCACCTAACAATATGACTTAGATCCCTGAGGACAAGGGATATGCTTGCACATCCATAATGTTTCTATCACCTTGTCTGGAGAGCAGCTCCTTGCAGAAGTGGTCACACTTCTGCGGAGTGTGAAGAAGCAGGCACTGGTGCCTGGGCCCCACGGTTCTGGGGAGCAGAAAGTGAGAACACCTGAGTCCCCAGGCTGTGCCGGTTGTGCATCCCATAAGCCTTGAGAGGCATCCTCTGTGGACCCCAACAGCCATCCTGCTCTGTGGACCCCACCAGCCATCCTCCTCTGTGGACCCCAACAGCCATCCTGCTCTGTGGACCCCACCAGCCATCCTCTGTGGACCCCAACAGCCATCCTCCTCTGTGGACCCCACCAGCCATCCTCTGTGGACCCCACCAGCCATCCTCCTTTGTGGACCTCACCAGCCATCCTCCTCTGTGACCCCACCAGCCATCCTCCTCTGTGGACCCCACCAGCCATCCTCCTCTGTGGACCCCACCAGCCATCCTCCTCTGTGGACCCCACCAGCCATCCTCTGTGGACCTCACCAGCCATCCTCCTCTGTGGACCTCACCAGCCATCCTCCTCTGTGGACCCCACCAGCCATCCTCTGTGGACCCCACCAGCCATCCTCTGTGGACCCCACCAGCCATCCTGCTCTGTGGACCCCACCAGCCATCCTCCTCTGTGGACCTCACCAGCCATCCTCTGTGGACCTCACCAGCCATCCTCTGTGAACCCCACCAGCCATCCTGCCCTGTGGACCCCACCAGCCATTCTCCTCTGTGGACCTCACCAGCCATCCTCCACCGTCTCCCTGCTAGACTCCTGGGAGTTTGGGAGAAGAGTGTAGTGGTAAAGGGACCTGGAGTCTGTGCTTGACTAAAGTTTAGTCAGGTCCCTGCACCTGGTTTAAACTCTAGTGCGGGCAAAGAGCCATGCTAACTCACCCCGACACTGAGTGTCCAGTTACTCTGGGTGCCTGGCCGGACTGCCCTCCTCCATGTCGCCAGGGGCTTTCTGATCGCCTTGGCTTGCATTTGGCTGCAACTCGGTCAGGTCGTGCTCTCCAGAACCCCCTAACCCCTGAAGTAAGCTCACAGTCATTTCCACCTGCCCCTGCTGCAGCCAGAGGTAAGCCCCTTGGACGTTGCGGTGGTTCCTGTCTCTAGTTGAATGATCCTGAATAAAGTCTGCTCTGCTGTGCTTTGACAAGTATCATTATTGAATATTGTTCTGCATTTGGAAAGTTTACTTAAATAAATATTAACACATAAATGTCAAATTGTTTGAAAGGTAGTGATGGGGGAAAAGAGAGAAAGAAATTCACTTTCCCAGGGCTCACAACTCCGTCCAGGCCTCCCATGTGGGTGGCAGGGACTCAGGTGCTCAAACCATCACTCAGTGCTTTCCCAGGTGCATTATAAAGAATCTGAATTCACAGTGGAGTAACTGGAACTCGAACTAGTACTCTGACACAAGCAGCAACGTAACTACCCCACAATGCCAGTCCTACAATCATTGCCAAATATCTGCTATGTGTCCGGCTGTGAGCTCAGCCTCTGTGACAAAGGCTGAGGGCCACACAGTCCCTTCTTCAGAGAACCTGCACTGGCCACGGCACTTGAGCTAGCAGCCCAGACTGTGAGGCCAGCTTGGTGGGTCTAATTTGCTTTCTTGGGAGTTTTGTAAGCCTGGGACTGAGGAAATTTCCTGGATGTGTGTGGGGAGTGGAGCTGCTTTGTCATGTATGTTCCTAGCCCGAGCTGTTACTACTGGAGGCGACACCACATCTAGAGGAGCCACAGAAGGGAAGAACAGCTGGGAGTGAGCCAGCCACACTGCCTGCAGAGAGCAGAGACAGGGGACTCCACTGCCCCACAGAAAGCAGGAGCTTCTGTGTCCCTAGAGCAAGGTGACCACCCACTGTGTCTTTTCTTAGTGGCCAGCAGAAAAAAGTACCTGTTGTATCCTCAGAAAAGCCATCTTGGAGGCCAGTACTGTGGTTTAGTAAGCTAAGCCTCTCACTGCAGTGCAGACATCCCACGTAGGTGCCAGTTCTAATCATGGCTAACTCCACTTCTGACCCACTTCGCCATTAAGGTGCCTGGGACAGCACTGGAGGACAGCTTAGGCCCCTTCTGGAAGAGACCCAGAAAAAGCTTCTTTTTGGTCTCCCACGTGTGTGCAGGGTCCCAAGGCCTTTGGCCGTCCTTGATGGCTTTCCCTGGCCACAGGTAGGGAGTTGGATGGGAAGTGGAGCCTCCAAAGCACAAACCGGTGCCTATACAGGATCCCAGCACTTACAAGGTGAGGATTTAGCCATTGAACCATCATGCTAGGCCCCAAGACTGAATCATGGGGGCTCCAGCTGGTGACCTCATCTAACCCTGGTCACCACCCAAAGCCCCCACCTCCAAACACCATGGTTGATTAAGCTTCCGACCTCTTAAGATTTCACAATTGGGCCCGGTGTGGTGGCCTAGCAGCTAAAGTCCTTGCCTTGAATGAGTTGGGATCCCATATGGGCACTGGTTCTAATCCCAGCAGCTCCACTTCCCTTCCAGCTTCCTGCTTGTGGCCTGGGAAAGCAGCCAAGGACGGCCCAAAGCCTTGGGACCCTGCACCCATGTGGGAGACCTGGAGGAGGTTCTGGGTTCCCAGCTTCGGATCAGCACAGCACCAGTTGTTGCGGTCACTTGGGGAGTGAATCATCGGATGGAAGATCTTCCTCTCTGTCTCTCCTTCTCTCTGTATATCTGACTTTATAAAAAATAAATAAACCTTTTTTTAAAAAGCTTTCACAATAAAGATTAAATCTTTTTTTTTTAATTGGAAAGGCACATATACAGAGAGGAGGAAAGACAGAAAGGAAGATCTTCCAGCCGATGGTTCACTCCCCAAGTGACAGCAACGGCTGGTACCGCACCGATCCGAAGCCAGGAGCTCTTCTGGGTCTCCCAAGTGGGTGCAGGATCCCAAGGCTTTGGGCTGTCCTCAACTGCTTTCCCGGGCCACAAGCAGGGAGCTGGATGGGAAGCAGGGCTGCTGGGATTAGAACCGGTGGCCATATGATCCCGGCGTGTTCAAGGTGAGGACTTTAACCACTACACTATCCCGCTGGGCCCTAAAGATTAAATCTTAATGTATAAACCCTTACGGGGCACATGCAAACTCTATGAAATTCACTGTACTTGGCAAACTTGCTTTTCTAAATGAAGGAGCCCTCACCAGGGCAAATGTGGACTTCGGGTGGCAAACGCAGTCCTCCTGACCCATTCAAGGAGACCTTCCCGGCGATGTAGATTTCTGTGGATGCA